TGGTTTGTGCACTTCACCTCCAAATCTTAAGCATGAAACAGCCTTTTCTTACAGTTTTAATGAGTTAAAATTGGGATTTCTGGATCTGTTCCCAGGCTGACAAGAGAGGTGAACTTAAAAGGATGAGTTAGCTTTCCATTGGACTTCTCTTACCTCTTGTATGTCTAGAAAGAAGGTTGCATTATATTGCAGATGAAGAAACTAGGACAGGCTCCTGCTTGTATTAGCTTGGAAGTGAAGACCAAATCTCCAAGGATTAGAATACTCAGAAGACACAGCAGACATGGCAGATATAAAAAGGAAATGTTCCTCTACCCAACTCATACCTCAACTATGAAACTGTCACAGGACTGAGAGGTCAAAACTATAAATATGAAAGGAGAAAAAATAAAGATGAGTCAGATGGGTCAGAGTTAATGCTATTAAAAATCCCTGTTTATTAGGACAGCAAAAATACACATTCTGTGGTTTGCAGAAGAGTGAAGGTAAATAAGGACAAAATGATCTGCTCAGTTAAACTGTATACTCCCTTCCCAAATTTTAGTCCTAATTAGAGGCAAAGTCCTTTATTTCTTATTTTGTACTGTTTGCTTCATTTTAAATGATGATCTGTTCCATCCTAAAGCTTCACTGACAAGAAACATATTGCCCCTATTTATCATCTGAAACTCCAGGGACAGTAACTGCGTGTGTGATTGCTGGACAGTGTGAGCTGGTGGAGATTTCTGGGCTCCCAGGATGGAAAACATCCTAGACACATTCCTGGAATATGCAAACTTTGGATTCAACATGTGCTCTCTTATGCCTGAATGGCTACAGAAATTTCAGGGCAACAGAAAATTCATCCTCTCCAATGCTTTTAACCTTCCAGGAGGTGGCTGATAGCATTCCTCTGCTTTGACACTGGGTTATCCATCAGAAACAGCTGCTTCTCCATGGATCTGAGGCATGGGGTGGCTCAGCTAACAGAGACCTGTGTCAGTCACATGAGTGTTGGGATCTGTGAGGAAAGGCAAAGAATTACTTCACTGTCCTGCATTTTCACAACTCAGAGTGTAGAAGTGCTGCAACTGCTCTTGAAGTTCCTTCCTCTGCCATGAAAAGCCAAAGGCCAACCCCTCCAGCCCACAGGCCTTTCCCACCTGGGAAGGACAGACCACATTGCAAGGTTTTTCCAGCATGGGGATGATGGGGAATCCCTCAGGTGCTCCTCACCTGGTGAGGAAACACGGGGCTGGACAATCACGTTCTTCCAAAGCCAGGGGCAGGAGATGCAGTTGCACAGCAATCACAGAGATGGCTTGGGGTTATCAAAACAGCTGAAGAACACATGAACAAACACTCCAGCCTTGCCAAGCCAAACTCCCCAGAGCTGTGCTTGGCCAGGCCCTCTCCCAGCTGAACGCCTTCAGCAGGGCCCTGGGTATCAGCTGGAGGCCAGAGGGGCAGCCAGAGCAGAGCGAGGTGGCCTTGCAGGCTGTGTCCTCACAGGGGCCCTGCCATGGCCTTTCTTCTCTTGTCCTTGGGCTCTTGTTTCTGTTTGTGCCACAGGAGCAAGGGTTTGGGGCTCCTCTGGGACCTCGTTAATCCCCCCCAGCTCTTGCTTTGCCCACTTGTGTGGGATGGCACCAACATGCCCTTTGCTTCACTGTCTTCAGTGCCCCAGGATGAGGGTCTCAGTGTCCCGGGATAAGGGTCTCAGTCTCCTGGGATAAGGGTCTTAGTGCCCCAGGATGAGGATCCCAGTATCCCAGGATAAGGCTCTCAGTGCCCTGGGATAAGGGTCTCAGTATCCCGGGATAAGGGTCTCGTGCACATTCAGCTGTAACTGTAAGAATCCAAAAGGGAGAAGGAGAAGATTTGTGCTGTTTGGAGAACAAAATCCTCTCCTGACCTGGGCAGGGAGACAGAAATGGTATTTTTTTGTGAGGCTTGACCTTCGAGAGGTTGTACAGGCTCAAAGACCCAGAGGACTGAACTCTTTCCGTCTCCAGACGTGTCCAAATGAACCAATCCACGTTGCCAACTTACGGGGTGTTCAGTTATCTTAGAAGTGCAAAGCACTGAAAAATTGAAGGAATTTCTTTTTTTTTTCCCTCTTGGCCTGTGATAGAAAACACTTGATCTGTTTACAGAAGTCAGTTTGCGTGTACGTGTCCGCATATGTTATGAGAAGGAATGCAAACGTATGGAAAACAGCCATCCCTCATTTCCAAGCCTGTAATCTCCAGAGTTTCCAGTGATACTGGCTGAGAAGTTGTGTTTGGATGCTTAGCTGAACCAAATGTGTTGGATGGATTATCCTGATGTTTCGTGCCAATGCAAATGAGAGAAACTCCACTGGAACCCACGATGTTCCACCAGAGCAGGGAATGCTCCAGGAGGGAATGAGGCCACTTCCAGCAGGTACATTTTGGATCAGATATCTGAAGTTTCTCAGCATCCAGTGGGTTTGGATTCAGGGCTTTGGTTCAAAAGGAGGTCTCTTGACAAGTGAGTGCTGCGTGTGTTGGTGCATTGCACACTCTGGGTCAGTGTTTAGTGTATCAAGAGACACGTAAGAAATTATGTTGTCTCCATCTTACTCCAAGGAGCAGCACTCTGAGGAAACCATGCTGATACCCAAGATTTCCTTTCCACAGAGTAGTGCTGTGATGAAGACAAGTTTCCATCCAGTTTTCACAGAATCACAGGATAAGTTAGGTTGGAAAAGACTTCTGAGATCAAGTCCAACCCTTGAGCAAACACTACATTGTCCCCCAGCCCAGAGCACAGAGTGCCACGTCCAGTATTTCTTTGAACATCTCCAGGGATGGGGACTCCAAGGCCTCCCTGGGCAGCCCCTTCCAATGCCTGAACACCCTTTTTCTGAAGAAATTCTTCCTGATGTCCAACCTAAACCTCCCCTGGTGCAGCTTAAGACTGTGTCCTCTCGTCCTGTTGTTGGTTGCCTGGGAGAAGAGGCCAACCCCCACCAGACTATAACCACCCTCAGGGTGGTTGTAAAGTGTGAGAAGGTCCCCCCTGAGCCTCCTTTGCTCCAGGCTGAGCCCCCCCAGCTCCCTCAGCTGCTCCTGGTGCTCCAGATCCTTCGTCAGCTCTGTTCCCTTCCCTGGATCATGCTCCAGCCCCTCAATGTCCTTCCTGAGTTGTGGGGCTCACTGAGGGGCACACTGCAGCCACTTTCCATCCACTTTTCATCATTTTTCATCATTTTCATCACTTTTCATCATTTTCATCACTTTCATCGTTTCTGTCCTGCCTGAGAATAGGAATTTCAGGCTGGGCAGAGAGATGGATGCTGTACAGACACTCCCCAGCTCTGCTGGTCAGTCCCAGCTCTCGGAGCCAACCCCTCTCTACCTCCCTACTGGGGCCTGTGGGGGCACAGCCACGTCTGACCCCAGTCCTGCTGTGCTCCAACACACTCCTCACGTGTCATTCCAGGCTTCCACATGTGCTCTGTGCTTCTGTGCACACAAAGCTGATTCCTAAAGCACGAAGACTCTTTAGCAAGAGTTTCCCCGGGGTGTTGTAGGCCACCAAAAATAAAAGCTCTGTGGCCCAGGAGGAGGCAGAGGCAGAGCTCTACACCCACCACTGCTCTGGGCTGGGACACAAACTGCTCCAGCCCCATCTCTCCTGCCAGAGGCACATGCTCTTCATTAAGGGCCACATTGCATGACTCGGGCTTTGCAGAGGAAAATAAAACCAGTGAGCTCATCTGAGCAGGAAAAACACAAGTGAGAGGCATTGCTGTAAATATTTATATCTTCAGGACCTTTAATGTGATTGTCATTTTCCCTTTCTGCATTTAAACAGCCGGGCTCTTGTTGTTGGGGGCTGTGTCTCTTTCTGAGGGGTGATTTTGGAGCCCACACGTGTCCACCCTGTACCTGGGCAGCCTCTGCCCCAACAGCCCGTCCTGGAGCTGGGGACACTCTGGCACCTCCGGAGCACAGCCCCTGACACATCTGCCTCCTGGGCTGGTGTGTGCAGGGGGAGCTGCCCTGTGCACATGGACATAAAAGGCAGGAGCAGATCCCCCCGGGGCACTGCCGTGCCTGGCGGGGCTGGGCGGGCAGGGGCTGTGCTCTGGGGTCCCGGGGGAGGGAGAGGGGCCTGACGTGCCTGTGTGCGACTGTTCCCGCTGGAAGGGCCTCTGTTGCTCTTGGATGGAGGGCTCTGGGAACAGCCAACTGCCTGCAGAGCCCTGGATGCAAACTTTCTGCATGAAATAATAACCTCACGCCCACATCAACTGAAATGGTTTCTATGGAGAATATCCTGGACCAGTCCACAACCCCATCCTGCTTCTCCATTAGAAACCCTTGGAGAGCCTCAAATATATATATATATTTATATTTTTTAAAGCTTACGACAGTGATTTTATTAACCTGATAATGTGAAAAGCATGAATGTGAAGAGCATGAGGTGGCACAGCCTTCTGGAATGAAGAAGAAAGAATGGCCTGGGAGACAGGCTGGGGGTTTTCACTGCTTTACAGTGTCTCCAGGGCATTTTACTTCATCTTGGTTTCACTTTCCAGCCTTTGTTCAGACTGTAAATTATTTGAGGCAGGATTTGTACACGTGTGCAGAGTCCAGTAGGAGATGCTGATTTTAGTGTGGTTGTTCAGATGAAACATCAACTGTTGTGTGTTGCTTAGAGCCACCACTGACTGTGGCAACTCCTGGGATTAGGAGGCTGGAGGATCAAGGCTCTGAATTTGCTGTTACCTCACTGAAGGAGCAAGGTGATTCTGGAGCTGTAACCAGGAATGTCTCCATGGCAGGGCTTTGGGACACCTCCTGCCTCCCCTCCTACTCTCAGTAACAGTGACTCCAGGAGCACCCCCAGCCACCCTGTGATCACACACTTCACAGATGTTCCCAGCAGCATATCCTGTGGTTTTCTCTTTTGCATTTCTTGGTGACATTTGAATTGTGCTAAAGAACAAAGTATAAATTCACTATTCTGTTTCTTTTTGATCTTTGTAGATCATCAAAGAGCCTCCCCCACCTCCGGCAGAAGACAGTGAGGTGAGTAACTCTGCCACCTGATCTGCTCAGTGTTTGGGACAAGGTTTGTTCAGGGTCCCCACCAAAGGTGGATCTGTGTGTGCAGGACCTCCCCTGAGCAGGCAGTGGAGGAGGACAGGGGCAGACAACACCTCACTGGAACAGCACCAGAGTCAGGCTGTGACTCACAGAAGGGACAACCCTTAAGCCTGTGTTTAACTTTGAAGTTAATGGAACCTAAACATGTGTTTTACTGCCTTCCTGGAATGGCACAGTAATGATTTTGGTGGTTTAGGATATATAACCACTCCTGGCAGCTGATCCCTTGGGCCACAGTTGCTGTGAGTGAAGGCAGCTCGTGGTCCTTGCAATGTGTCTGAAGACAGTGGAGCAGATTCTGAGCAGATGTAAAACCCCACTAAAATCATCTCGATGGCAGAAGAGCTGCACCAGCCAGGGAAGTTTTAATGGAGAATAATCAACAAATGGTAAATCAATATTAAAAATTCCATCTTAATTCTGCCTACGATTTCCAGACGAATCCAGGCACAAATGCTTAAAGCTGTGTCACCATTACTTAATCAGCAGACTGTGCCCAGAAACATGCCCAGTTTTCCATCTGCTCTTTCTCTGTCCTCCTGCTTCCAGCACGCAGTGAGTCTCAGCTTTGCTCCCGCTGTTTTCCACATGGGATTTCACTGCAGTCCCTGGGCTCTGTGCAGGGAGCACTGGTGGCCATGGGAGTTTTTCCATTGACTTCACTGGGGTTTGGATCAGTTCCTCTTAGCTATGCAAGTAAAACTGGCCTTAGATCTGTGCTCAGAGTGATTTGGTTGGTTGGTTTGCCTCATTCTCTGCATCTGGAGACAAATCCATTGCCTGCTTCAGCTTGTGAGTGGAAAAGCTTCCGAAATGGTGCTCTCTGCTCTCCATGCAGTCTGGCCCAGGGAGTGTGGTCTGAGCCAAGGCACACAAATACCCTGAAAGCTCAGTCCTCTGCAGGCCTGTGGGGCTGGAATCCTTTTCCCTGCACTGGGCACAGAGGAATCATTCAGGGCAGCACTGGAACCTCCACCTTGGTGGCACTTGCCCCCTTCAAAACAGGCCTGAAGTAAAATTTTAAATCAGATCATTTGTGAAGCCAAGGGGGATTTGCATTTGGCCCCAGTGCTCCCCATGCCTCCCTCTACAGGCATCTGGCCTGTTCTTCTGAGCAGACATTTGTTTGGGCTGTATGAAAATCCACCAGCTTTGTCAGCTTCTGTCCTCTGAATGAACAGGGAAATATTAACCTAAAATTGCACATGGCTTTGTTCTGCATCACACATGCCTCCAAGCCAAGGGATTCAGTTGCTGAAATTAATTAAAATACATCATTCTGGAATGCTGGCTCCCTGGCCAAGGAGTGGAAGGGGAAGTTACATCCCTGTGCTCAGAGGGAAGTCGTGCGTCACCTCAAGGAAGCCTTTTGTCAAAGCAGCAAGTGCTGCAAATGAGAGCAGTTGCTGCAGAATAAACTCATTGCAGCAGAGAGCTTTAAATTCAACTTGTCCAGGCTTTGGTTGTGCCCAGAGAGAGCACTGCCCAGTACCTGAAACATGGCATTAACTAGAACCTGTACTTTACCTGCTGCCTCTTTAATGCAAGAGGGGATCTGTACATTCTTTTGGCTGTTCTGCTCTCTGGGATGGCAGGTTTTGGTTACAACAACCCTGGAATATTTGGGTTGGAAGGGACCCTAAAGATAATCTCATTCCAACCTGCCATGGGTAGGGACACCTTCCACTAGCCCAGGTTGCTCCAAGCCCTGTCCAACCTGGCCTTGGACCCTTCCAGGGCTGGGCCATCCATCCATCCAATGTGCCAGCATTGTAGGGGCTGCTCTGATGGTGGAATTTCAGCTGTACTTCCCACCAGAGCACATCCCCTAACTCGGTGCTCAGTTATCCTCAAGCCCATCCAACACATTTAGCAGCCAAAGGATTCTTCCAAAGGAAGATGTAGTTCATCCCATTTTAGAAGCTCTTTAGCATCAGAGCAGTGCTCAGAAATCAGTAAGGCTTGAAGCTGGGACTTGTACTGTGTGTTTTTGCCAGACAGAAGAGCTTCCCACTAGTGGAAAAATAGCTGAAGCTCTGAAAAGATGCATTATGTTGGTCCTCTTGGAGACACTGGTCCACAGAATGGGACTGGCAGTCATGTGATGCTTTCACAGAAGGTTGGAGGCTCCAGATTTTCTACTTTGCTCAAAACAAATGGAAGATGGAGTTGGTTTTCTACAATCCAGTTTTCCTCAGGTGATGCAGATGTCCTCTCTCCCTGCAGGGAACCAGCAACTGCTCCTCTCCAGCATGACAGAGGGCTAATCCCTCCAGCAGCAGGGTTACAGGTCCATTGCTTTTCTTCTCCCAAAAGTCTTGGCCAAACAAAAAGACAAGAGGAATTCTTGCATCAGCAGATTTGTTAGCTGAGGCCCACAGGAGGCAAGGAGAATGCATTATCCTGTGACAATGAGGGGAAAGTCGTGCTGCTGTCAGACCAGCCAAGGTTTTACTGAACTCCCTTTTAAAGGCCTTTGGAGACATATTGGAGACACGCTTGCTATTGGTGAAGGAAATACACTACAAACTTCCAATTAATTCATTCAGAAATTGCAAATGTCATCAGCTCACCCCTGAGCTGCTCAGACAGCACGGGATGCTGAGGAGGTGGGGCCCAGAGCAGGACAGATGGTTTCACTTACAGCCAGGAAGGATTGAGTTAATGCCAAGCGGAAGAGGGGAATGGCTGAGGAGCCAGAGAGCACCTTTCTGGCCTGGGATTAGTCACTGAAGGTGGATCAAAACCACACTCTTCTACTTCCAGTGAATAGGAAGGCTTTTTCTAGCCCTGCTGGAGGAAGACACAGCCGCTCTTACTCATGTGTCCCATCACCTTTAGGCTGAGCTTATTGGAACAACTCTTGCTCAGCTCAGCCCAGAAGTTTACCACAGGGCCAAAGCTGTTTCTACTACAGCAACACATCTTCTGCATCAAAAAATCCCAACTTGCAGATCTCTGCAGCTTCCAACAGTTCCCTACTCACTACCTGGCCCACAGAAGGATAGACTGACTGCAGGCAGTGCATAAACTGGAGCCCTCCCAAGCATCCCCAGGAGACACCCACTGTCCTCACTGCTGCCCTGCCCTGTGAACAGAGGCTAAACCACACTGCTGTCCTGTCCTGGCAGCACTGGTTCCCACAGCAGGGATCAGGGACACAAAGCTCCCTGGCAAAGCCAGGCAGGGTGTCCATGTGATCAGAACTTCCCTTTCCTCACCTCTCAGACCCGTTTTTTCCCGTGTGCTCTGTCACCCAAGCTCCACAGTGCCCCGGAGTGTGGCACCAGAGCCAAGCCACCAACCAGCCTGTAATTGGATAATTCTTATGTCTGTTGTCCTCTTACCCACATACAGCAGAGCAAACACACACAAGAAAGTCCTGGAGAGACAGGGCCGTTGTCACTGTGCTGGGAGGCAGCTTGGGAAGGAGGGATTTAACTCACTGTTGTTCAGCCAAGGGATGAAACCCCCTGTTCAGCTCAATCCACTTTGATTGCTGTGAACTAATTTCTCCCACAACATTCATGAGGCCAGAGAATGACTAAAAGAGATTCATCTGCCTGAACCCTGGTTTGGTTGGAAGGGACCTTAAAGACCGTCTCACTCTACCCCTCTGCCCATGGGCAGGAGCACCTTCCACTGGACTGGATTGCTCAATTATTGCTGTTCATTATTCTTTTCTGAACTGTTTTCCTCTCTTTTCCTGGAAAGTCTTGCTAGGGGGGTAGCAAAGCAAGCTCCAGAGAAAGGATCTGCTAGGAATTTTTTGTAGGCATCAAGGCAGGAAATTTATTCTGCTGTTCCTGAAACAAAGCCAGGCCCCAGTGGTGTGCCAGTGCTTTTCCTTCCCTGTACTCCCCTTTTACAGCGAGTTATGGAAATATGGGTGGAGGAGAAAAAGAACCTTTCAAGAGACAGGCATTTAAAAGAAAAAAATGGGGGTGCTGTTGGCAGCAGCTGAGGTGCAGGTATTGCACCATGGAGATGTGGAGTTTTATGGCCAAATTTCAGATGAAATATCCAGGCAGGCCCAGCACAATGCCCAGGCTGTGGAAGTTGGGATAAATCACATCACAGTGCAATGGGAGCACTGGTGGTAATTCCCTTCACCTTATCAGACCTTATTTCATCCTCCTGTAGCTCAGAGTCTGAGCTCTGGAGTGGGAGCAGCTCAACATCCTTCCTTCCTCAAAACAGGGCTTCCTCTGGTCTGTGCACACACTGTGCATGTGGAGGACATCACTTCAGGCAGGACCCCTGAGGATCTGTGCACAGACAAACGGGCAGTTTCTGTGCTCAGCAAGGCCAGCAAAGGTGCTTTGCTCAACATTTGTGTCCTGAGGATGAGCTGATATCAAGTTGAAGTTGGGGCTGTTCAGGCTGGAGAAGAGAAGGCTCTGGGGAGACCTCAGAGGGTCTAAAAGGGTTCCAAGAGCTGGAGAGGGACTTAGGACAAGGGTTGGAGTGCCAGAACAAAGGGGACTGGCTTCTCACTGCCAGAGGCAGGGTTAGATGGGATATTGGGAGGAAATTTTTCCCCATGAGGGTGGGGAGGGCCTGGCACAGGTTGCCCAGAGAAGCTGTGGCTGCCCCATCCCTGGAAGTGCCCAAGGCCAGGTTGGATGGGGCTTGGAGCAACCTGGGCTGGTGGAAGGTGTCCCTGCCCATGGCAGGGGGTGGCACTGGATGGGCTTTAAGGTCCCCTCCCAACCCAAACCATTCTGGGATTGTATGTGTGAGTGTTTTGGTGCCTCATGGGGTCTTTCTTCAGCTGCTCCTTGGCAGAGCACCAGGAGAACGTTTCCTCTGAGATGATCTGGGACCCGTGAGCACTCTCTGCCAGAGGTTTGGGCCAGTGACAGGCAAAGAGACAAGAGAACCCAAAGTGATGAGTTTATGCAGCTGCAATTCAGATGCCTGGCAGGGAATAATGTACCAAGTAAAACCTTCCAGAGCAGGAGGAAAAGTTCCCTGAGAACAGAGCAAGGTGTCCTCAAAGTGTAACAAAGCCTCTGCAGCTGAGAGGTGGCCATGGGATTTGGAAATGAGTCCAGCACTGGGAGAAGGAGGCAGAAAGGAGCCTTGAGGACAATGGATTCACCTCCTTGTTCTCTCAGCTGTAAAATTCAATGATAGCATCTCTTATTCAGAGGAATGATTGTCCTGTTGTGTCTCAGCCCTTGGTGCAGGCAGAGCTCTCTATAAATGCTGAATTCTGACAAAATTCAGGCACTGCAGAGACAACTGGGAAAATAATTATAAGGGTGGGGAGAGGGGTAAGTTGTCCAAGTGGGTTTTTTTTTTATATCTAGCCAAACTTAGTTTGAATTCTTACCCTGAGTGGTTCAGATGTCCCTTGTGGAGCCTGAATTATCCTTGTGTTACCCACAGATGAGGTTCCCTCAGGTCGGGGTCAGAGTATCCAGAGCCTGGCCTGGCCTCTGAGATAAACAGAGATCTTTGTTTTCTGCAGTCCAGCAGTGATGAATCTGGATCTCTGACTGTGAAATGCAGCTCTGTCCTGTTCCTTCTGATTTTGTAAGAGAAACTCTAGCTCCATCTAAAGCAGATTTTGGGGGTGGAAAGTTGCCGAGTTCTGTACAGTCGGTTTCCAGCATCCTTAAATGCACTTGGATTTTCCGGGGCTGTTTTTTGTGCTGCAGCTGGGGCAGAGCTGGAGCTGCTGCTGCAGTTCTGCCTCAGGTGCAAACCCTGCGTAACCACAGGTAGAAAAATGCAGGTGAACCAGAGCCGGGAAGGGAGAATTCAGCCCTGCTCAGCCCTTGGGAACAGGGCACTGGGCTGGGGTGCTGGGCAGGGGGATCGTCTCCCTCCTGCTCCCCATTTCTCTGCTCTTCCCTCCCCTGACCCCCCATTTCCAGTTGCTTTCCTTCGGCTCCTCACACACTGACCAAGTGTGCAGGACAGCACTGCTGGGGTGCGTTGTTTTGGTTTTTGTTTTTTTTGCTTGTATTGCAAAACCTCCCATGCCCTTGCAAACATGTAAACAGACTCATTCTGCAGAAAACTTGTGACTCCTTTGTTTTTCAAGTGGCCGCTGATGTCTCTGTGTGCCTCGCTCTGTTCTGGCTCCTCTCTCACACTGAAGGGACTTGCAGGGCTTTTAAGGGCTTGTGGGGAAGATTTCCTAAACTCTGGTATTTCCTGTTGTGAGAAGTCCAGTCTGTGCTAAACTGAAGAGAGAGAAAGAGAATTGCTGAAGGAAAATATTTAGATGGCTTTGCTTCAATTATTTTTTTTTTTTTTAAAAATCCTCCTGGAAAACTTCATGCAGAGATATTAAGTTCTTGGGTTGCAGCAAAGAGCCTCAGCAGCTCTGCCCAGAGTGAGAGAAAGAGATCAACTACACAGAGTGAAGACCTTCACTCTTCCTTTAGATCAGGACAAATTTTGCAGCCCAATTTACGTGTACTTTGATAAACAGAAGTGCTTCTGCTTACCATGAAAAGCGCAGTTTGTCTTGGATTTTTTTCCCCCCAGTTTTTCAGTTTTCCTGCTGGGGAGTTTCAATTTCAAAGTATTTTTGGCTTTTCCCGTCTTGGAAAGCTCCTCAGTTTTGGACTTTTGCCAAATCCCTGTGAAAAATTAAAAAAAGGAGAAGAAAAAAGAGAGAGGGACCATTTTTCTTTTCTCTCCACATTTTTCACAGGAAATACTTCACGTTTTTGATGAACTCTACTTTTCTGCTTTGCCAGTTCACAGCCTGAGCTGTAGAAATTAAAGGGAAAGGCACTATCAGAGCTCCACTTACACTCTGCCCTATATATAGTGCAACAGAGAATACAGAGTATTAAGTACACTCACTGAAGCTTTAGCAGACTCTTTTTAAATAAACTTAAGGAGGTTTTCTGGAGCTGTTAATTTGCCCATATCCGAATGTCATCACAAGACCAGGGTGCTGAGCAGGTGGGGGAGGTGCCTGCAGTGTGTAAGGGCAGAACAGAGAATTTCAGCCCCGTGTTGTCACACAGGGCCTGACTTTCCTTTGGCATAAGCCACGGGACTCCCTGAGGCCACACGGACTTCCATGGGCAGCCTCTCCAGCTGAGGCACAAGTTCACTATAGGAGCTAATTCCATTCTTGTGACTTTTCCATCCCATTACTCTTGGCCAGCTCATCCCAATAAACCTCATCTCCATGCTGGGCATTCCTGCTGGGGTTGTTCCCAAAGGCACCCCCAGTCTGCCATCACTCAGGAGCAAATGGCCTGGCTGTCTTGGTCTTTCCCCCCACTCTGTCAGCTCTGAACTCCAAAATGATGATTTATCTGGGCCCTGGAGGGTTCCTGCAGCACAGGGAGCCCCGAGCAGCAGCAGCTGGGCCTCCCCTCTCACAGGCAGAAATGATGGCAGAAGTGAGTCCCTGCACATCACCCAGCCCTGCAGCCACAACACCCCAGCTCCTGAGCTCTGCTGACTGTTAATTTGGTGGCTCTTTCAATGATTTTGCAACTTGGAAACAATTTACTTCCGTGAATTTAAACATGATGAAAGACAGTCTCCTGAAAAAAACAACACAAAAAGACAAAAATCTCGTTCTTGCTGGAGCTGGCCTGTACCTTTCAAGTGGTGGTGGTGTTTATATCATGAAACATTTTCTTTTCATGAGTGTACATCCTCTGGAAAATTAAGAGGGAGAGACCAGAACCTTGCCTGCCCTGGCTCCAGCAGGCTCAACACAGACTGGGACTGTTTATTCCTTTCCATCCATGGTCATTCTTCCTCACAGTGCCACCCCTTCCCTCTGTTTTGTAGGAAGAAGATGATGATGGCCTTCCAAAGAAGAAATGGCCAACAGTAGATGCCTCTTACTATGGTGGACGAGGAGTTGGAGGCATCAAACGGATGGAGGTAATTAAATCCCAGGGCATGGACCAGAACTGATCTGGGGACTGAGCTGTGATTCCCTCTGCAATTTACCCAGGAAGAAACTCAGGGGATAAGCACAAACTTCTTTAAGCTTTTTTGGTACCTCTGAGCCCAAGTTGGTTTTTGTATAGGAATATTTGAGAGCCAACCATAGATTCCTGAAGTATGGGATCATCTTTCTTCTGCACTAAAGCAAGATCCTCCTCCATGCCTGGGACACAGGGGCAGTGTTGCCATACACCGTACAGGGAGATGGGTTTAGTTTCTCCGAAAATCTTCCCCACTCTCACATTCCTGATCAATCACAATGAAGGAGGAGTTCACAGTGTGGGGTGTAGTCCAGAAACAAGCTGCAGAGCCTGTGCATTGCTGCTCCCCTGGCTCTGGACCCTGGGAAGTGCAGCAGGTCCTGCTCTAACCTGTGCTGGCCCCCGTTCCAGGTGCGCTGGGGAGAAAAGGGCTCCACGGAGGAAGGGGCCAAGCTGGAGAAGGCCAAGAACGCGCGGGTGAAGATGCCGGAGCAGGAGTACGAGTTCCCCGAGCCCCGCAGCCTGGCCAGCAGCATGCGCAGGCCCTCCTCCCCACGCAGGTGGTACTCGCCCATCAAGGTACGTCCAGCCCGGGGCTGTGCTGCTGGGGGGCTTCCAGAGATCCCTGCTGAGGGTTCACACCCAGGGCCAGGATCACAAACCTGAGGCCTCCAGGTGCTGCTGCAGGAGCTGTGCCCGAGAGAGCCACCTGATGTGCTGTGGAAAGCAGCCACGGGGGGCAGTGGGGATTTCCCACCTGGATGAGCAGGTTTTGGGGTTGCTTTTCTTTCTTAGGCCAGAACAGGACCCTGATCTCCTCCGGTTTTTTAGCAGCTTCTGGGAAGTGCTTTCAGACTCGACTGCACTCCTAAGGGTCCACACTGCACATTCCCTGAGATGTAGGGAATCAATAGCATCCTCTTCAGAGATGATTAAGGAACTGTCCTCTGATGAGGACAGACTGCAGGAGCTAGGCCTAGTTAGTCTGGAGAAGAGAAGACTGAGAGGGGATCTCATCAGTGCATATAAATATCTCAAAAGGGTGTCAAGAGGATGGTGTCAGACTTTTCAGTGGTGCCCAGTGACAGGATGAGGAGCAATGGCCATAAACTAAACAACAAGAAGTTCCATCCCAACATGAGGAAGAACTTCTTTCCTCGGAGGTGGCAGAGCCCTGGAACAGCTGCCCAGGGAGGGCGTGGAGTCTCCTCTCTGGAGACATTCCAAACCCACCTGGATGTGTTCCTGTGTCACCTGCTCCAGGTGACCCTGCCTGGGCAGGGAAGTTGGACTGGATGATTTCCAGAGGTCTCTTTCAACCCCAACAATTCCATGATTCTGTAATCCTCTCCTTAGAAAGAGGGGGAAAATAGGAAGCAAATTGCTGCTGAATGTCCCCAGGGAGGACTGTCCTCAGCAGACCAAGGGCTGCAGCCCAGCAGATGGGTGTGTGCCAGCAGACAGGGCTCACAGGGCAGCACACTCACCTCAGGACAAGGACTGGGATGAATTAGAGCCTCGGAGGGGGAAGGTCAAATTCCCCCCAGTGCCAGGTCACATCAGTGCAAACCTGCCCAGCAGGGATCCCAGGAATGGGGGGACTCCCCTTCCCTGCCATCTGTCCCCAGGACAGGCAGCTGTTCCCCAGCTTGTCCTCACTGACACAAACGGTTGGCAGTGAACAGAACAGAGCAGCTGAGAGCTGAGCTGGAGCAGAGCTCTTCCTTGCACGTGGGAATGCTGCTTGTGGGGAACAAACCACACAAACAGGTATTAACTGCGCCATCCAGGAGTGCTGGGGGGGCACTGCAACATCAAAGAGCTGATGTCTTGCATCCAGGACTAATTCAGCTGTCCTCAGGAAAGGAGAGCAGCTTAACAACTGTGTGACTGCTCTAATGAAAAGGGGAAAATAATCTCAGGTTTATCTCTTTTGGGAAATGCTGATGCCCTTCTCGTCTCTTCAGTCTGGGGTTTTTGGAGCAGCACTGTAGTTATCAGGCTCAGAAAAGACTGAAAACACCCAATTCATATCCAAGTGCAAACCTTGCACCACAAGAACTTGGGTTTGAAGAGCTGAGGTGCTGGTTTAGGGTCTTAGAAACCCTCTATGGGCCATTTACCTGCAAAGGGGGTGTGTGTAACACATAAGGAACATTGCAGTGCATAGAGCTCACCTTAAACTTGATTAAAAAACTTCAGGCAGTGAGATGTCCTACGCTGCAGTACACCCGGGGTTCCCTGCTTTGGATCTTGTTCCTGCTCAGCTCCAGGCAGTGCCCACAGGAATTTGGGCAACTCACATGTTTTGGCTTTCCTCAGCCATTGATCTTGCAGCTGGTTCAGCTCCAGTGGTGGGAATGCCCAGGATGCACAGGGGAGTCATCTGAGAGCAGAGCCTTGCCTTGTGTTGTAATGACTTCACCGTGTGTCCATGAAGGTTGTTCATCCCACACTGGGACAGGTTGGAGTCAGTCCTGTGAGCTCGGGGTGGGGAGTGGAGCACACCCAGTCCCACAGAGCTGCTCCTTTGTTCCTCAGTGCACTGCTTTGTCCTTTTGCATCAGTGCATTTGTAAAACACACCAGCTCCATCTGGGAGATCCCCCCCGTGTGCTCCTGGAAGTGACCTCACTCAGCAGGCAGACACAGTGGGGCTGGTTTTTGCCACTGAGCTGACAAGCACTGATCTAACTCCAAGAGCCCTGAATTCCTGCTCAGGCAGCTGGAACCCCTGTGGGCACAACTCCCTGAGATAACCCTCTGAGAGCTGGGGCCTTTCCCACACGAGGTGCTGCTGAGTTTCTCCCCTTTCCCAATTCAAGCTGTTGAATTACAGGAGACCTTCAGTGATTTTTCGGGGTTTATTCTGCATGGTGGGAAATCAGTTCTGAAAAGAGGAGTCAGATTTGTTGCAGATTTGTGTCCCAGCTGGAAGTTCTCCAAAGTTCAAGAGAGTCTTGGAGGAAAGATTCAATGTATGTAGGGCTCTGGAACAGTTCTGACTCTGGAACAGCTTTTGCTTCATAACAACAAGGATTCAGTTATAAGGGGGCCTACAAATATTAAGAGTATCTCATGGGTGATATATATTCTTAATTCCTTTAGAAATATCTCTCTTATCTACCATTCCAAGTGCATACAGGAAAAAGACAGTTCCAATCCAAGGCCTGATATCCAAACACTCCCAAAACTTTGGGGTGTTCCACATCTGGATAGTATGTAGTATTAGTATTTAGCCTGGAGAAAAATTTACCTAATAATTAATTGGCACCACTGCCCTGATTGAGCCACACCCAAAAGGGCAGTGTATGGAGACAGGATAACTGCATCCAGCACTTTCTCCGCGTACAATCATGAGCACTCATCAAAACCAGGAAGAACCAGGAATTCCTATGGAGCAGAATCCTGCTGTCCTACAGGGAATTGGCAGAACTGGCCAAATTCCTCAGCACTGTTGGCAGAAGCTCTTGTCCTGGGAGCACCTGGAGATGAATTTGGCATTACTCAGGGAAGCTTTCATGGAGCCATGGCAGGGGAGGCGAGGAGAGAGAACCTGGGAGCTCCCCAGGGCTGGACCTCCCCAGGGCAGCGCTGCTGGAGTGGATCCATCCTTCTCTGCTTCGTCCAGTCTGGGTTTGAAGTAACACAGAGGCTTCCACCACTTCTGGGGGGGATATTCATAGACTCCCAGACCTCACCCACAGGAAATGGCTCCTGATACTCAGCCTGAATGTTCCTTCATCCCCCTGATCCAAGTGCACTTGGCTCCTCTGGTTAAAGGAGATGTTGAATTTCCACCCCCTCCACCAGGCTAGTGGAAAAACCTCTTTGGGAGTGAGATAAATATGCATGTAACAAGCTGCTTAAAAAATCCTTGGTAAAGGAGAAGGGCGATGAATTAAACCTCGGGAACAGCAAAACAAGGTCTCTCGAATCTGACACAGAGCCAGGAAATTCACATTTTAGGGCCAGTCATCTTGCTGGCCACAGGCCTCCTCTTCTCCATGCTGCACAAGTACCAACCTGTACTTGGAGTGTTCAGCCCTTTGGAGTTCATGTGACGGAGTTCTTCTTCCCTCTGTTTTTTAATCTTCCCAGAGTCATGTCTATAAACAGGTAGACAGCTGAGAGTGGATTAGATTCCCTTTTGAAATGCTCCAGAGATTTATTTGCTACCAAATGTGGCTACTGATACTTAAGGGACTGTGGTTATTGTTATTGCTATCCTGACTTGCTGCTGTGACTCCTTAGCATGGTGCCAGCTGGATTATCCTGCTTTTAAAATGTCATTTCAGCTGTTTGAAAAGTCAGTGCAGATAATCCAAGGAGAATGACAAATCTAAAAACTTCTTAAGCAACTCACCAAATCCCCAGTTCATCTGACAGGGAGGGACAGCACAAAACGTGGATGGAAGTGAATCAGAGAATCAGGGAATTGCTAAGGTTGGAAAAGACCTCTAAGGTCCTCAAGTCCAACCACAATGCAGCACCACCACCATGTTCACCTCTAACTCATGTCCTAAGTGCCACATCCACGTGTTTTTTGAACACTTCCAGGGATGGTAACTCCCCCACTGCCCAGGGCAGCCTGTGCCAAGGCTAAACAACTCCTTCTGTGAAGAAATCTTTCCCAATGTCCAACCTAAAACTTCCCCTGGCACAACTTGAGGCCATTTCCTCCCATCCTGTCACTTGTTACCTGGAACAAGAGACTGACCCCCACTTCACTACAACCTAAGTTTGAAGCAACAAATGTTGGTCTCAAAAAGAAACCCCAGTGAATCCTCCGTGGGGCCACTCCTGCCCCGACTGATCCACGTGTCCCTGGAACGTTCTCCAGCCTTTGTCCCTCCTGTCCCTCTTCACAAAGCTGACATGGCCTTGCTGGAAGAGGCCCAAGTGCAGCTTGGATTTACAGACAGGTTACAAAACTGCCTCTGACTGACACCACCAGGTCTCAGAGCACTGTGGGATCAGGTACCAGGGCCAAAATGGTGCTGAATGAACCACGAATTCAGAGGAAAATGGATTCATGTTAAAGCAAAGCCTGGAACTGTGCCCTCCTTCATTTGTCATCTGCCCTCACTGGTTCTATTTTCTGGGCTTCAGATCTAAAAGGACTCAAGGCTTTATTTGCCTCCAGACCTTTCTTTTTTCTCCAAGTGACCTTGTGATTCAGCTGCAGAGGAGTTCCCAGACACAGGCCCAGCCCATCCACTGGAGAGCACAGAAGGGCTTATATTTCCACATGGATGCATTGCCATTTCATTTCTTCAACCAACATCATCCTTTCCATATGCACACTCCCTCCCTTCCACCCAGATGTCTCAGGCAGACCCTGAGGCTCCATTCAGACTCCCAAAGATGGAGCTCTTGGCTTTTCCCAAGAAATCCTGGTACGTTCTTGGAAATTAGGACCGAAGAGTAAAAAGGACTTTTTTTGTTCCATGGAAAATTGTCATTTTGCCTCTGGTTTCCTAAAGGAAAAATGGAAGAAAAAGGTACTTAATTCTGAAGTTGTCAGAGTGGACAGGAGATCAAGAGCTACCACCAGCTCTGCTCTAGGAGGAAAGATGGATTGGGATAGAAGGGATGGCTTCCCTCAGGTCTGAGGGGTTCTGCTGTCCAAATGCAGAAGAATCTGACAGAGAAGTTTCTTACTTCTTCCTTTGAGAATAACAGACTTTCCTGGCTCTCACCTTGGGAAGTCTTTTCCCAGTATCCTATGGAAACAAGTTCTATGCATTCTGTGTGTCAGTCTGTCTCCACCCATGTCTCCAACTCCCAAATAAGCTTTGAACCATTGGCTCCATGCACTGGTTGAGGAATAGAGGTCTCAGAGAGGATTATGGCCCTGATGGTTCCTAGAAAAGGGAAGGGAAAGATTCTCCCCATGAAGGGGGGAGAGCACACATGGAATGCACTGAGTGTTAGGATACCAGGGAACCAAAGTCACTGAGGACCTTCCAAACACCCAGCTCTTGCCTTCCCAGGCACTGCAGTTCACTGCCCAGACCCAGGCTGTCCAGAAAACAAGCTGCCTTGCTCTTAATGATGCCACTGACTCTTTCCCCACCACCTCTGGCATGTCCAGCTCACATTTCCATTTGTTAATCCTGTCCCACAATAGTTACTCGAGGCAGTTCTGCTCTCACAAAAGTGTTGTAGGCTTTGTTTCAAGGAACCAGGGAGTGATCAGACAGGAGATTCTGGGTCCAGTCAGGGGTCAGTCTTCAGGTTTGATGTGCTCATCTACAGGAGATAGTTTTGTACCAAAGGACAACTTTGTCCATTCTCAGAATATCCTGTCTCTGGCTCTGCAGGTACAGTAAGTGCACTGAATGTTACTGGTGGGGGGTTGGCTCATGGTTTAATATCACAGCACATGGAGCATTTGGAACAATACTTGTGGAAACATTAATAAATGCTGTTTGTTCTTAACCCTCTCCAGAAATTTTTACAAATCTTTGGGTGTTGTGCACCTAACAGACAGAGGGCCAAATGGCAAAGTTAATGGCAGTAGAGTTTGATCAAATAATCTTGAGCTCGTAACATGTCTGTAGCCATCCACGGAGCCAGCCAAGGTGCTGCAGTCCTCTAAACCCTCCTGCAAGTCTTCCAGGAGCTGAGTCCACTGTGCCAGTGACACCCTGGCCTGTTGCAGTGGGGATATAGCAGGAGTCCCTCAGCAGCAGACGTGCATTTCAGAGCAGATGATATTTCTCCTGTGGCCTCGCTGAGCTCGTTTGCAGAGTAACCGCAGGCTTGGCGTGTGCTGTGGCTCTGAGCTCCTGTCAGGGCTGAACGCTGGGCCTGCAGGGCAGGAGGCAGCTCAGGAGGGGCAGGGACCACACAAATCAACCAGACTCTCTGTCAGCGAGACCTTTCAACACGCTGGGGGTTCAGCACTGCCCGTCTGGGCCGTGCATGTGCACACGTGTGGGGAGGGCTGCGGGGTGTGAGACCACCCGGGAGGGAGCAGCTCCTCAGAACTGGGGTGCTGGGGCAGCCTCTGAGCTCCTGGGGCTGGAGGGCTTTGACAGACACGTGTTGACTGTGTGATTTTCCAGACTGACTGGAAAATCTGCAGATCTGAGCTGGCACACAGGGTGGGCCGGGGGAGCCTGGTGGGAGCTGGAGACGTGACTGTCTTGCTGGCTGGCAGGAGGGACTGAGCAGCCACCACACAGCACCCAGCTGGGCTCAGCTGCCCTGGCACTGGGGAGGGACGGGCTCTCACTCAGCTCTCCCCAGCAGGTTGTTTTGAGACATAAATCAAAATGATTTTTAACATGTCATGATGGTCACCCAGACCTAGAGACAAGCTGTCAGCCAGGGGAGGAGGCACAGTTGGAAAGGCGTCGTATGAATTCCCCTGGTCGCTCTGCATTGCTTTGGCATTTTGCTGGTGATGGTGTCAGGAGCTGAGTAGGTGTTAGTCTCTCTCTCAGCCCAGGTGGTATCTGAGTCACTTTGGAAAGGTTGGGTACATGGATACTGTTACCTGGCAGACACCTGAAAGCTCCTCTGCACTTGCAGCAAGTGTCTGTGAGAGAAAACATTGCTCTTCAGCATCTTCTATGGGCACTGGAAACGACTGAGTAAACCCTGCGTGGGTCCCAGCTGTGTTGTCCCTGCCCTGCACTTTGCACAGAGCATAACAAACACCCTGTTCCTCTTGGTTCATAACAAACACCCTGTTTCTCTTGGTTCCAGGGGAAGCTGGACGCTCTCTGGGTCTTGCTGCGGAAAGGATACGACCGCGTGTCCGTGATGCGCCCTCAGCCAGGAGACAAGGTACTGTGCTCAGAACATCTCCTCACAGCAGGGAGAGGTGACATCCCTCTGTGGCTCCTGACTGCCTTGGCACGTGGGACCGAGGGCAGAGGCTGAGCCCAGCTCAGAAACAACCAGTCAGGTCTGTCAGCATTGTGTGTGGCGGTTTGGCCGATGCAGTGCCAGGATGAGCTGTCCCGGGGCAGGGGCAGGAATACCCACCCAAGAGCCCAGCACAGTCCTGCCCCTGGGGCACAGAGCTGCTCTCAGTCAGCCACAGAAGGAATTCTGATGAATAGGAAGGGATATTCCAACATATTTTGATATGACTCAAGGAAACAGCGTGAAGCTGTCAGGGCAGGGTCAGGTTGGATCTCAGGGAAAGGTTCTTCCCCCAGAGGCTGGTTGGGCACTGCCCCAAGGCTGCCAGAGCTCCAGGAGGGTTTGGACAATGCTCTCAGTGACAGGGTGGGATTGTTGGGGTGTCTGTGCAGGGCCAGGGGTTGGATCAATAATCCTTGCAGGTCCCTTCCAACTCAGGATATTCTGTGGTTCTGTGATTTTCCTTCGTTAAATTCACCTCATGGTGGAAAATGTCAGTTATGTGAATGTCTTATGCAGTCGGTTCCACACCTCTGACACAAATCAACAACAGGGCTCGGAGTAGCTTCAGGAATAGATTTGTCTCAAAGTGTAACTGCAACATTGTGAAGACTTCAGGAAATTCAACTGCACAGGAAACAGTTTTTTGGTGGAGAATCACAGGTCTGTAACATTTGGCTTCCTGTAAGGAGTTTTGTTGAATACAGGCCCAGTGACCCATTGTGAATTAGAAGGTTTAATATTTTATTCCTTCCAGAGGAAGATTTGCTGAAATGCCTTCACTGATCCTGATTTCTGGGAGAAAAACTGGTAACATACAGATTGCTGGTGCCTGGCAACAGTCCCTCAGAAATCAGGTCTGAAGAAAGCCTGTCCTGCGAATAATTTTTTTGACTTAACAAGCTAAAATTATTTGTATGGCAGGTGCCACTTTCATTTCTGCTGGGGAGAATCCACTGGAACAGTTCCCAGCAATTCCTCTTGGTGCAGCTGCCAGGAGGCTCCGTCCCTTTTCGGTGACACGTCCCTTGGACATGTCCCTGTGTCCTGTCACAACAAGCACCAGCAGGATCAGCCCATACAGGTGTTACATGATCCACCCTCAGAGTAAATTAAGCCCTTTATGAGTGAGTTGTGCTACAAGGGATCTCTGACCTGGTACGATGTGATTTAGTGTGAAAGAGGAACTGGCTGAAAATGCACCCAGGTTTGGAGCTGCTGAAATAACTGTTTCTCTCCAGCTCACTCCTGTGTTTGGGCACTTCCCTGTGTAGCTGTGAAGCACTTCCAGACCCTCCTGTAAGGGTAGACTGCTCTTAGAACATTTGTTTTCCTTCCATGAGCCTGAGTGTTTGACTGCTTTGAACAGCCACTGTGTTACAGAACATCACTTGCAGATTGGTAATTGCAGATTGAAGGGAGCACTTTGTGTTTGTCCCTCTGCAGCAGTGACATAACTCCAGGTGATGTCACCCCCCAGCACCAGCAAAACCAGGATGAGACCTCACTGTGAGACTCTGCAGTGACTTGTGTTAGTTTACACAGCTGAAATGGCAGAATTAGGTCGGGTTTTCCACTTTCTTATTCAGCAAAAATGTGTGGGTTTTGTTTCCCTATTTCAGATTCAGACTAAGGAGAAGCATCCAGCACTGGGTTCAACCGTGCCATTTCTGACTCATCTCCCATCTTTCTATAGACATTCCCATCATTTGAATGCTGATTTAGTCTGTCCTGCCTCACTTTCTACATTGTAGCTGTAGAAATTGATTTTACTGGGCATCAGGAAGGTTGGCTTTGTAACATTTAGAGGCTTCTGTGCCAGGGACCAGGAATGGATGAGGCAATATTGCTGTAAACTGAACTGCCAGAAACTCGACTGTGCTTTGGGAGCCAAATTAGTCAAAAAGAAAAGCAAAAGGCTGCAAAAATAGTTGCAAAATCTGCACCTCACAGAATAAGAACACTCTCAGCACTACTGAATCCCTGCCAAACCCCTTCTGTTCTCCTCTGTGCTACTGTTCTTCTAAGAGAAATTTAAATGCGTGTCCAATCTTAGGATACAAAGGCTGCAGGATTCAGGCTGCTTCAAGGCTCGTGGCTTCTCCCAGGTCAGCAAACATCAAATATTATCTCATAAAACACATCAGTGCTCTGGTGTGACTGGAAATCCAGGGGGAAGGTCAGTGCTGAATTGATGGGAATGGCAGCATGGAAACATCTGCCAGTGCTGACTGCAGCTGCCAGTGCCCTCAGAGCAGAGTCCTGGGGCAGGGAGAGCAGCCTGCCTTCCCAGCAAGGAAAAAATACCAAGGAAAGGAGCAATTCCACAGCAAATCCTTTTTGAAATGAAACCTGTGTCTGTAGGGCAGTGCTGCAAAAGAAAAGGAGCAAATGTTGCACTGCAATGATGGGAAATTTCTCTCCATGCAAACAGTTGTGTGGCCAGAATTCCCTGCCTGGGAAGTCAGGGCTGGGGTGAATGGGCTTGGATCCAATCCCCACCATCAACTGGGAGACTTTCACCAGAATCCCAGTGAGAGGGTCTCTGGATTGCATATAAACACAACCCTTCCTCTGCAGTGGGTGTCTGATGATGTAAATTTAGTATTGTCTCCGCCATTCCCTTCATCCAACCCAGGAAATAGTTCTTGGAATCTCTCTGACTTGGAACAGCACTCACAGCCACAGCTTTGCTCTCCAAAGTCAAGACCCCTTTTGTGATGGTTCTATGGCCTAGGCACTGGGTTCCTTGGCAGGAACATTTATTTATAGGCCTGGCCAGGTCCCAGGGATGCAGCCAGTGGTGGGTGTGTGATGGTGACAGGTACTGGGGAGGTGTGTTCTGACACAGACTTGGAGAGCTGGCATGTCACCTCCCCAGCCTGACCTGCACTGGGGCCAACAGGATGGATCCAACAGGTTCAGATGCTCCTGATGCAGGAGGTGCTGAGGGACAGCATGTGGAGGACAGTCACACCCAGGCAGCCCTGCACATGCACACACAGACTCCTGGATGCTCTCCCATCCCTCTGCTCCTGGTGCAGGGTTTGCCAGGGGTAGAGCTCTCAAAGTCATTTTGGCAGTGGTGAGCCCAGATATAAATTCCTGTGTCCTGTCCATGTGATTCCATACAGCTGTGTTGGATCAGGGGCACAACAAGGACAGACTTGGTCCTCACCAGGCTGCCAAACCTTCAGCAGTGTCTGTGGACTCTCAGAGGTGCCCACTGGCAGGTTTGGGTTTGATCCTGTTCTGCTGGGAAGCACAGCTAAAGGAATGCTCTGCCCAGCCTGGCAGCGAAGGGGCCATCGAAGCTGCTTCTGACCAGTCCAAGCCAGTGTTGTGTTTGAAAGTGGAGGCACAGATGGTTTGAACTCCAACCCAGGTGCCAAGTGCAGACCCAGCCCTGCTGCTCTCAGAGGACAGAACCCTTGGAGGTCTAGAACAGGGCAGCTCTAGTTTTCCAGCTTTTCTGCCTGCTCTCCTCTCTCAGGGTGCTGCAGGGCCCAGGTCACCCATCACTGCCATCCCAGCTCCTCTCAGCAGTGCTGGGCTCTGGTTTGTCTCCCAGGGCAGTTCCAAACCAGCCCCGTTTCAGTCCGACCGTGTGGCCGCTCCGGGGACTTCCCGACACAAACTGCACAAACTCCTCAGACTCAGCTCAAAGCAGCAGCCCACACTGCCAGCTCTGCACAAGCTGCCAGCCATGGACATGACCTGGGAATGAGAGAGCCAGGGACTAGCAAAGCATCCCCCAGGAACCAGCAGCCTCAAATGGAGCCACCGATCAAACACCCACCGCACGGAGCATTCTCAGGCTGGATGAACATCCAAACCCTTGCAGGCAAACTTTATGGCTAGTGAAGAGGAGCTGGAAATTTGCAGACAGGAGCCTTTGACCATACGATATTTCTAAAGACTACAAGGAGGAGCTGTTTTGATAGCAGTTTGTACCTCCTTCCTTCTCTTCTCTTTCCTGAACAAAGGGAAGCAGATTTCAGACTTAGTGTTGTCAAATGGGCTCCTTAATTCACCCACTGATCAAGATAAAAAAGTGAAGCCAGATGAAAAATAACTGAAAGGCATCTCTGTTTGCTTTGGAGCCTGGAAAGGAGCTGGACTGAATCCCAGGGTTACATCATTTTCATATATAAGCAATCCCTCGCTATAATCGGTGACTGCAGCCCCTGCCAGCACACGAGCTGAGCTGCTCAGAAGATTCCTTGCATAGAATGAAACACAGATTCCACTTTAAACCCCACACTGAGTAATTGTTGCTGTTTATCTGCTGCAGCCCACACAGCTTCCAGGGATCTGTGATTTGTCAGGAAAGATGTCCCCTGCCCTGAGATTCACATCAGTCTGTAACCAGAGAGTGATGCAAGGGCAGGCACTGAACATTTGCAGTTTATATCCATTGCAGGGGATAATGTGGGGACTGGAGGTTCCAGTCCTCCTCCTCCCTGTGACCTCAGACAGTCCCTTGTCTTTGCCCCTTGGCTGCTCGGGCCTGAACCTGTGACTGAAGGTGGAGACCCTGTGGGGCTGTTTCCTCCTTCGACAGGCACAGCGATGGGATCGCTGAGCAGGGAGGGCTGGGGCAGGGCTGGATGGTGCTGGAGACAGAGCTGAGACCTCTCCAAGAGCTGCCAGAAGGGAAGGCATCCCTGTCCAGAGCATGACACCAGCCTGAGGCACAGCTCCTGGGAAGCTCCAGCAGCTGGAGAGCCCATGGCCACACTGCAGCCCCTGTGGGGGCCCGGCAGGAGCACACGGGGAGCAAACCTTGGTCTGCTCTGCAGAGGCTTTTAACAAGGCACCTCTTATCCCAGAGCAAAAGGAAAAGAGAGGGATGCTCAGGACCCATTTTGAAGTGCACCCAGAAAGGCTGAGATGCACAAAAAGGTGGTGAAATTCTG